TTGGCAACTCGCTCATTATGCAATAAAGGAGGACGCATCGGTCCCGTGAGATTGTACTATCATGAACAGTGGGGATTAAATTGTGTCTGCAAAAACTGAAACCAAAGTCCTGCCTCCGTGTTGAGATGGCCAGCCAAAATAATTTGGCGTCGGTTGTCCCTCGACCATCCACGATCGGGGAGCGTAAGGAGGGATGCGATATCATCATCGGCAACTTCAAGAGTCCCTTTCATAATTTGTGCAAACGAGCATTCCGGCAGTGGAATGAGTCCAAGGGCCGCATTAAGCTTCGAACCCGACCAATCAACTTTCTTACCCCGAATATTCACCGAAATGCTCTTGGTGGTGCCAACGGCCGCGTAAAACTCGGTTACCCAAGATACGTTGGCCTTTAAAGGGGAAACCACCATTTGTTCCCACCGCAAAGCCACCAAATGGTGCTTGATAGCCATAAAAGAGTTGACCAACAGTGGGTCAAAGGCCCGCTCAAGAAGAATTTTATTATTTTTAATACGGTTGTACCTCTCTTGAAATGGTATCACCTTTTCTTTCTTTTTCTTTGGGGTTTGCTGCCTCTTCTGCTTTGCTGCCGCCTTCCTCTTTTTAGAAGGTTTTGGCTTACTGACTTCCAAAACCTCCACTTCTGGAATTTCTTCTTCAAAATCCTCCCTTTCCTCCTCTTTCTCGGCCACATCTTCAGCATTTTTTAAGTCATGTGCCATCTCATCCTCATAATCACTGTCTTCAGGTAATGGTTTTGGTAATGGTTGAGAAATAACAGACATGAACTTGAACTTTCAATACTTCCCGAGGAGGTTTCTGTGCTCACAGTCTGCCTACTGGGGGTAGTGACTGGTATTTCCTCAACAGGAAGTTCTTTCTATTTGAGTCTCAGGGGGTTGCTGTGATAATTCTTCTATTGACTCAGGAACAGAAAAAGGAAATAAATCTTCATGATTAGTAGAAGCACTTGCTTCAAAGTCAAAACGGAACTCCTCCCCTAAGGTATCACTAAGGTTTAGGTCGAAATCGTGTATGGTGGGTGGGCCGAGTGGTGTTGAGGGAAGGGGAATAGGGGGCTGTTGAGTGGGTGTAAGGTTAATCGATGGTGGATGGGGTTAAATAGAGGGGTTATAGAGGGTGGTACGGTTAAGGCTAGGAAAAGGGGTCGGGGCGTTGACGATGGTTGGGGAAGGGTCACGGCGGCCGGCGATCGTGAAGTAGACGAACCGGCGATGGTGGTGGTAGTGTGAATAATGGTGGAAGGGGTAAAAATGGTGGTAAATAGGGGAGGAGTTTGAGTGATACTAACCGGAGTGACAATGGCATGATACTCGTCGTAGTCGACCCGCACGATGGATGACTGACCGGCGCCGGCGGTTGATGAATGTCTTGCCGGCGGAGCAAAAGCAATGGGGTCTGGCGAGAGGGGCGTTGAATAGTGCATCGATGGAGCAACCGATGGTGGTACGAGAGTGGCGGATGATGCGTCGCCGGCGACGGTCCAGCGAGTAGAACGGCGAGTAGGCGGACAATAAGGGGGCCGGCCAGTTGGATTGTTCCTTGTTCTAGCCATGAAAAGAGAGAGGAGAAGATGAATAGTGAAACAAAAATAAATTTTCCCCCCTTTTCATAGATAACCGATGGATATTGCCAAGGTAACCGTCCCTTTTGCATGCAAAACCTTTGTAAGGACAATTAATTTGAAAAAAATGATGTCATGGTACTAGTCAAATCATTTACACAAGCCTCTATTTTCAGAAAAATCATCATCATTTTTTTTCAAAAATAAACCCATTTCTTTACTTAATTTCCCTTTTTCATTTCCTTGGAAGATTCCACAAAAACCCACCAATATTCAAAAAAATATTAACCAAAACCCACTTCAGAATGTGAGCATGAGATGTCTACTGTGAGCATACCTGCATGAAATAAACAAGAAGCACAACAATTAGAAATATATACACTATTTACAACAGAAAGTTTGACAATTAATGAGAGAGATTTTTGGCGTGGATCTTGCATTCCTTCTGGGAAGAAATGCTTGACTCGATGTCCATTCACTTTAAAAACCGTATTGTCTTGTGGGTTCAAGAGATCGATAGTTCCAAACTTTCCCACTTTAACAATAGTAAAAGGTCCCGACCATCTAGATTTGAGTTTTCTGGGGAAAAGCCTCAACCTAGAATTAAAAAGAAGCACTTTTTGACCTTTTTCAAAAATTCTTTGATTGATCCTACGATCGTGCCACATTTTCGTCTTTTCTTTGTAAATTTTGGCATTCTCGTAGGCTTGGTACCTCCACTCTTCCAACTCATTGAGTTGGAGCTTTCTTTTCTCTCCCGCTAGAGTTGCATTTAAATTTAGTTCCTTAATAGCCCAAAATGCCTTATACTCTAACTCCAACGGAAGGTGACAAGATTTTCCAAAAACAAGTTGGTACGGAGACATGCCCAATGGAGTCTTGAAAGCGGTACGGTAGGCCCAAAGTGCATCATCCAATTTAAGCGACCAATCTTTACGATTTGGCTAAACCACTTTTTCTAAAATATTTTTTATCTCACGATTCGAAAGTTCCACAAGACCATTGGTTTGTGGGTGGTAAGTCGGGGCTACTTTATGTCGGATGTTGTACTTCTCAAGAGTGGTACTTAACACTTTGTTTATGAAATGAGTCTCTTCATCGCTTATCAATGCTCGGGGTGTTCCAAAACGAACAAAAATGTTTTTATGCAAAAATTCCACTACCACATTTCTTGGGCAAGCCTTTGCTTCTATCCATTTGGAGACATAGTCTACTGCAACCAAAATGTACTGATTGTGAAAACACATAGGAAATGGTCCCATAAAGTCAATACCCCAAACATCAAAATGTTCGACTTCCAAAATATTGTTCAAGGGCATCTCATTTCTTTGGGACAAATTCCCCATGCGTTGGCATTGGTCACAACTCTTCAYAAATTCAAAAGCATCTTTAAACATGGTAGGCCAAAAAAATCCGCTTTGTAAAATTTTAACGGCCGTACGTTGTCCACCAAATTGGCCTCCGTATGGTGATGCATGACATTCTTTTAACAAAGCCTGGATTTCATCATCCGGGACACATTTTCTCAAAATTTGATCCGATCCCAATTTAAAAAGGGATAGATCGTCCCACAAATAATGCTTGCAATCATGAAAAAAAAAATTAAATCGGTTTCCCTGAAAATGATATGGTTTAAGGCCACATGCAAGATAGTTGACAATATCTGCATACCAAGGATTTTGTTTTTGAAAATTGTGTTGTATGGCCAAAACAAATTCATCCGGGAAAACTTCCTTAATCTCATGACTTCCCCCACTTGACACATTTCCTTCAATTCTAGAAAGGTGATCGACCACTTGATTGTCACATCCCTTTCGGTCAACAATCTGAAGATCATATTCTTGTAATAAAAGAATCCATCTAATAAGTCGTGGTTTCGAATCAACTTTGTTAAATAAATACTTTATTGCAGAATGATCTATATGAACAGTGACTTGGTACCAATCAACTATGAATGGAAACGATCAAAAGCAAAATACTACCACAAGTAATTCTTTTTCCGTGGTGGTATAATTTAATTAGGGTTCAATAAGAGTCTTACTTGTGTAGTATATGGGGTGAAAAATTATATTTTGTCTTTGTCCCAAAACGGCACCCACGACCCAATCACTTGCGTCACACATTACCTCAAAAGGTAGGGACCAATCGGGAGCGATAATAATGGGTGCCGAGACAAGAGCATTCTTGATTGTTTCAAAAGCCTTTTTACAATCGGAGGTGAACTCAAAAGCTTGGTCAACATGCAACAAGTTACATAGGGGTTTTGCAACTTTAGAAAAATCCTTAATAAACCGT